CTTTTAGGGCCCAGTCACACCATCAAGAGTGCGTTCCAGTGCGTTCAGCCTCTGGAACGCAACCCGGCTGGCTCACTTTTCCTGGGGGTTGGAGGGGCGTGGCGGTGCATTTAACTCAATTGCACCGCAAACACCCCCCTGCCCGCGGGGCAATCGCCGGTGTTCTATCAAAGATTGTGTCTGGGTTGGAATGTGTGACCAGTCACGTTGTCACAGATTTAAACGTGACCCCGCCCACTTTTGCGGCGGTGGAATATGTGACCGGCAAAAGGTGAAGAATTCCAACTCTTTCTCAGCTGTTCCAGGGCAGATCGGCATCGTAGATGGTATGTGCAGGAGAACCGATCTGCCCTGGAACAGCTGATTGGTCCTGAAATGTCACTTCTATCGACTCTGTGGAATGTCAGATCGCACTCACAGTCACATTTCAGGACTGATCAGCTGTTCCAGGGCAGATCGGTTCTCCTGCACATACCATCTACGATGCCGATCTGCCCTGGAACAGCTGAGAAAGAGTTGGAATTCTTCACCTTTTGGCGGTCACCGCCGAAAAAGTGGGCGAGATTACGGTAAAATGTGTGACCACGTGACCGGTCACACATTCCACCGCTGAAAAAAAAACTGGGCGGGATTACATTACAATGTGTGACCACGTCCCCGGTCACACATTCTAACGCAGTCACAAACTTTGGTAGAACACCGGCACCCGAATGCGTGGCCTGCGTTCCGGTCCAGTGTGATCTGCAAAAAATGCTGCAGACATTATTTTTTGCAGATCGCATTGGACCAGAACGCAGGCACTAAGACTACAATGGGACTTCCATCACCAAGATGGACGCCGGCAGGTATCAGAATACTGCAGTGCGTGGTGACGTCACGCGCATGCGCAGTGACGTCTCGGCGGGGCGACACTCGGTTACCGCTCCGGGTGTCACCCAGCCTCGGGACGCCCCTGAATGGGACCACCAGAAAAACATACATACGGTAAGGTGCATTTTTCCTGTGAATTTGCACCTAGCAACTGTCTCCTCCTCCTAGTAACTAGCTTTCCGTTGGCTTCAACGAAAACATTCAAGCCTGAAAACACGCAAAAAGTGTACAAACGCGCAAAACAAATCATGCAAAAAATCACCATAGATGCCGACGCTCAAGTGTGAATCCAGCCTGAATCTGAGCTCCAGAGAGTCAGCTAGAGAATTTGAATTGCATGTGAATTCCTATACACAGCAATGTGGAAGTTTCACAAATACAGAACGATTATCCTGAAGCACATTTGACATCTCCTCCTAGAATAGTATTGAACCCCGGCTTTGTCAAATGCTTCCAACAGTGGCGTAACAATCGCCATAGCAACCCAGGCGGCCGCTATGGGGCCCAGGCACAGGGGGGCCCGGCCAGGGCATCCCTCTGATGCCGTGTGGGCCGCCTTGGTCGCTATGGCATGTAAGGGTGCTGGCTGTCACTGACACAGCTCAGCAACAACCGCGGCGCGTTTCCCCTCACAGCCGCTGCAGAGATGTGTCAGTGACAGCCAGCAGCTGCGGCAGAAGAGGCCGGCGTTTGCAGTGAAGGAGGAGGCGGGGCCCGCCTAAGAGCAACCCCGCCTTTTCTTACATCACTGGCCAGTGACCTAAGAGCAGGCGGGGCCAGTGATGTAAGAGGAGGTGGGGCCCGTCGATAGAAGAGGAGGCGGGGCCCGGGGACCACTGAGGCGGACAGCGCTGACAGGTAAGAGGTGTGCGGCCCATCTGAGACCCTGCAGAGCCCACTATAGGAGAGTCTATGGCGGGCTCTGCAGGGTCACTCTCAGGTGGGCTGTTTGGTATATCAGGTGGGCTCAAGTGGCATAATTAGCAATCACGGGGGCCCCATACAAAATTTTGCTATGGGGCCCTGTGATTTCTAGTTACGCCCCTGCTTCCAACGATAAGTGAAAACGTATCTTGCATCAAAAACAGCAGCACAGAAATCAACACATATCAATATTCACCATAATTGTAGAATTCAAAGCGAACCTCTGCTTTGCCACACTCGGCAGTAGGGACGAGCGAAATCGAACGTTTCTGTTCCCCTAAAATTTTGGAGATTTCAGGGGAAATGTTGACGTTTTGGTCAAATGCATTTGCGTCATTGGAGTAGGTTAAATAAAGGTGACTTGGGCAGTGATTTCTCTGAATTGCCTCAATTTTCATCAAAATTTGGCTCAATTTTGCTCATCCCTAAACATATTGATCCAGGTATTGACATAACTGACTGTTTTTGGATTAGGAAAGGATTATTAAGCAAATTATGAAACAAAATAAAAACAAAATTCTCCGTAAAGTTGTTTGCCTCCTCCGGACCAAAACCGGTGGAGTTCATGGATGTGAATCATGTTAATGACTCACTTCAGCTTATTATGTGTGTATAGTACATTATTTTTTTTATTCCCTTTGCTATTTATATCTGCCTTGTACATAAGAAGCATCAGACTCTGTGGCGTCACAGGACACGGTATCGCTTCATCCTCCCCTCCTCACAATGCAGCTCTGCAGATTAGCTGATTACGAAGCTCAGTCAGAGCCGAAAAATGACAAACAAGTCATGAAGACTTCCTCCTGTCAATGTGGAATTATGTCATATGATGTCCCATCCCAGGAATGAGGGAAACTGGCAGAGTGCGGTGAATGCGGACATCGGAATGAGCGCAGAGGGCGGGAGAACACAGGGGCTCTGGACAGCAGGGATGAACATCATTTCACAACCCTGCCAATGGCAGGAAAGGCAAAGGGGCCATTTATAAAAAGGTTAAAGTGACTATACTGCCGCTGTTCTGAGCTGTTCTACCTCTTATGAAAGTACATGCAACCCAACCCCCAACCATAAAACTTTCAAATAACCTTCGATGCCCATTTACACTTAGGTGATCCATTGGCGTGTATTAACTCATGTTATAGGAGAACTATGGGGTCAGGGCTTCTCCCCATAGTTCTCCTAAGGGTAACGGGAGGACACAAACTAGCGTCCTCCCGTCACCCAAAGCTCAGTATACCACGAGCTACAGGTCGCGGTATACTGAGACACCGCAGCCAATTCTGTCTGGATCCGCCCAGCTGCGTGAGTGACAGCTGGCTCTGCCTATCTAGAGGCAGAGCCAGCTGTACCCGCCCCCTCCCCCGTCTGTTGCGTCAGTCAGCGCTAGAGGATCGGACAGGGGAGGGGGGGAATGCCTGCAGAGAGCCGTGAGTGACGGTTATGGCTCTCTGCAGGGACATGATCGAGAAGTGAGCGAGCGCCAGTATGTGTTCGCTCACTGAGCCTACCAGTGACAGTTTCATTGTCACAGGTCGGCTCAGATTATGAGGCTGAGTGAAAATCACTCGCCTCATACTTCTCCTTTAAAGGAGAAGTATGAGGCGAGTGATTTTCACTCAGCCTCATAATCTGAGCCGACCTGGGACAATGAAACTGTCACTGGTAGGCTCAGTGAGCGAACACATACTGGCGCTCGCTCCCTTCTCGATCATGTCCCTGCAGAGAGCCATAACCGTCACTCACGGCTCTCTGCAGGCATTCCCCCCCTCCCCTGTCCGATCCTCTAGCGCTGACTGACGCAACAGACGGGGGAGGGGGCGGGGACAGCTGGCTCTGCCTATCTAGAGGCAGAGCCAGCTGTCACTCACGCAGCTGGGCGGATCCCAGCACAATTGTCGGGACCCGCTTCAGCTGCGGCGTCTCAGTATATAGGGAGCTGCAGCTGGCGGTATACTGGGCCTAGGGTGACGGGAGGATGCTACTTTGTGTCCTCCCGTTACCCTAAGGAGAACTATGGGGAAAAGCCTTAACCCCATAGTTCTCCTTTAATGTGCGTTGTGTTAAGGCCATTATGAATGGGTTGCCAATCCACCTCATTGAATGACAGAATGTGCGTGGGCCTTCTTAGCAATGTAGTACAATACAATGTATGGTATGTGCAATGTAGAGTGATGGGATGCATCGTGCATTGCATACTACTATACAGTGCATTGGGGCTCCATTGACAATGAGTGGCACCGTAACTCCCCAAACATAAAAAAGGTGCATTGCCATTGTTGAGGAAACACACAATAATGCACGTTCACAAGTGCAAACAGGGCCGGATTTCCCACAAGGCCACCGAGGCCCGGGCTTGGGGCAGCAGGGAGTAGAGGGGCAGCACAGCCGTCGGGCGGGTAGTTTTTTTCTACGTTTAGCCCTGCTTCGGGCAATTGAGGAACCCGGCCTTGGGGCAGCAGAGAGAGTAAATCCAGCCCTGAGTGCAAATGGACCCTAAACCCCAACTCTGGGCCTGGGATTCCCTCAGCCCTCACTGTTTGTTACTCCACCCCAATGGAGAACCACCCAACCCGAGAAAAAAATAAAACTTTCTTAGTGCCACCAATCAGAGTCACCCCAGGCTAACTTTTAATTTCATAGAAAATTCCCCGATTTTCAGAAAAATTTTGGTAAAGCAAAAATCTCTCAATTTTGCTCATCCCCAATGGATATATTTTGAGCAAAAAATTGATCCAACTGTCATTTCGGGATAACATAGTTACATAGTATTTGAGGTTGAATAAAGACATAAGTCCATCTAGTCCAACCTATTGCTTATTGCTTATAACGGAGGAATTGTTTTCCTTGTGAGAAGCAAATTTGGCCACATTTCCCAGTAAGGGAAGGGAATTGTTTGCCTCCTCTGGACCAAAACTGGTGCAGTTTGTGATATAATTGGTTCATGGATGTGAATCTTTTTTTTTCCAGCTTATTCAACGAAGTCGGACTAATAGCTCATCGGAGGGGGATTTCCCGTAGCTGAGTGATGGGTCTCGGTGAACACGTTTGTACAAGAAGTGTCACAACACACATCACACCCGGCAATGACTGAACTGGTTTAACTGTTATTAGCCTGTCACATCACACCCTCGCAGCGCTATGACTTCACTGACACACTACAGTCAGGAATGAATTCAGTAGGTCAGTAATCTCTGTCTCTCTCATCGATGGAGCCAGCGCGGAGGGCCCGTGCCACCTCCCGTCTGATCTGCATCCTGGCCTTGTTCATCACCAGAGGTGAGTGTCCCCCCTTCTCCATCCTTCCTCGGGGTCCAGAAGTTCTGAAAACCCCAATTTCTCTGTCTCCCTTTACCTGAATCTTCCCCCTTTTAGATGAAAACCCTTCCCCTTTTATGTATAACCTGCACTGGTCCATAATGAAGACCAGAGGACTCTCCACACAGAGGAGTCAATAATTTTTATAGACAACAAATTACAGCTCAAACTTTTTGTAAAAATTTCAGGTTTGATATTTTGGGTTTGGTTTGGGGAGCTGTGCGGAATGTTGAGACCTCTTTACTATTTGGAAGTCTTTCAACTAAGTACATTTCCATTGTTCATCATGTTCGGCTGTGATAAAAAAACATGTCTGACTGGTTGATGATGAAAGCAGGAGACATATTTTTCTATAACCTTAATGTATCCGTACTTTTACCGGTAATCTGTACATTTCTTGGTGAATGGCAAATGATTCCTCGTAGGGCAGGGGTGCCCACTAGGTCGATCGCAAAGCTATTTCTGGTAGATCGTGATTGCTAGTTCAATTTGGCTGCTCCGTTTATCTGGGCGCTCAGCTGCTGCTGGCCGGGTGCAGTTCTCTGACTTGGCCGTCAGGTGGCGCTCTGTCCTGGCCGAGCCCCTGCCACTGAAAGCCGTGCTGCACAGAGTTCAGCATAAGGTTGCCACCTTTTCTTCAAGCGAAACCCGAACACTCTAGCGGCGCCTAGACATTTTTTTGGAGTCGTAGACCCTTTGCAGTAGACCGTTTATTAATTTTGGTTGCCCCTGTCTGCCTGACATCTTGTGTCCGGGTTTCTGCTGCCATGAAACCCGGACACAGCATTCAAAACCCGAACTGTCCGGGTGAATCCTGGACAGGTGGCAACCCTAGTTCAGCATGCAGCTGCTCCACTCTGGGGAAGCCTGAGAGCCGGGCCCTGGGGCCACACACATCAGACCCAGTCCAGGGCCAGGTAAGTGGTGTTCTTTATCAGAGGGAGGGGGCATTGTGTACCGCAGGCTATGTACTGTGTATATACAGTATATATATATGTATGTATTGTGGCTGTGCGTGGCAATGCCACTATGTAGAGTGGAAAAAGGGTCACCCAGGACTCTCAGCCAGAGGGGCTGAGCGGCTCCAGGAAAGTACTGTTACCAGGAAAGAGCTGGTTTTACAACTCGTTCCGGGTTTTCTGGATTATAGTTGGGATCCTGGAGCCGGGAGATTTCTAAGAGAACTGGGAGGGAAGAAATCTCCATTCCTGGGTCCAGGCTTTAGTGGTGACCAGCACCAAATGATGGTGCACCTGTGCACAGCCCTTTATGAAGAGAGTGCTGGTTCAGGTTCAGGGTTCCAGCTGGAAGACAAAGGAGGTGTCTGTCCAGGAGTCAGGAGGACTCCATCCTGGAACCAGCCGGTGTGGGAAGGTTTAACGTGATTACCTGAAGTCGGTGAGACTGTGAAAAAAACGTTATTTTGATGAAATGACAAAGCTGATGTTGTGTTATGTTGGAGAAACCCTGTGAGCAGTGGCGTAACAATCGCCATAGCGACCCAGGCGGCCGCTATGAGGCCCGGGCACAGGGGGGCCCGTCCAGGGCATCCCTTTGATGCCGTGAGGGCCGCCTGGGTCGCTATGGCATCTCGGGGTGCTGGCTGTCACTGACACAGCTCAGCAGCGGCTTTGAGGGAGAACGTTCCCCCTCACAGCCGCTGGGGAGCTGTGTCAGCGACAGCTAGCAGATGCGGCAGAATAGGAGGCGGGGCCCGCCTAAGAGCAACCCCGCCTCCTCTCACATCACTGGCCAGCGATCTAAGAGCAGAAGGAGGCGGAGCCCGGGGACGGAAGAGGAGGCGGGGGCCCGGCGACTACGGAGGTGGACATCGCTGACAGGTAAGAGGCGTGCAGCCCAACTGAGACCCTGCAGAGCCCACTATAGAGAGTCTATGGTGGGCTCTGCACATGGCATAACTAGCAATCACGGGACCCCATACCAAATTTTGCTATGGGGCCCTGTTATTTCTAGCACCTCTCCACTAAGGACAGAGCACCTCTTACTCACCTGTATATTATCACTCTGGACCAGGACCAGTGGTCCCAAATCTGGCACACCACTAAATCCTGCTCTCCTAACGCCAATGCCCAGTAAAGTAATTATAAAGCCTTATTCCGTTGGCACTTGGGTTCCCACTGTGGACAGAGCACCTTTCCACTAGGAACAGAGCACCTCTCCACTAAGGACAGAGCACCTCTCCACTAAGGACAGAGCACCTCTCCACTAAGGACAGAGCACCTCTCCACTAAGGACAGAGCACCTCTCCACTAAGGACAGAGCATCACTCCAGCAGGGACAGGGCACCTCTCCACTAGGGACAGCTACATTCACTGATATTCGGCAATATTTGTTCTTTCAGTGGGAAGAGTTGCCCACAGTAACATTCATCCTCTTTATAAAAGGGTGAATAATACCTTCCCAGCACATTCACCTGACGTTTACTGAACACGTTAAAAAACATAATTCCCCAAGCCTGACATGTCAAAACACTTCATTTAAAATAACGTGAGGGAAGAAGATGAAATCTGCAGCCCTGACAGCCTCACGTTTCACATACATGATTGGGGAGGTGAGCAGAAAGCATGGCAAAGCCTGCATAGAAATACAATTGTAGGTTCATAAAATGGTGGTCTCGGGTACCAGAGAACGCAGCCATAAGGCAGCAGAGACACTTTTCTGACTCACAGGAAACATTGTCCATTATAAATGTTATTTCTGCCTATATAACCTGAGATTTTATGGATGATATTGATCCGGGGGTTTCTATTTTTCAGGTAATTCATTGAAATGCCTTGAATGTAAAGATCTGTCTGGGGATTCCTGCGTGGGAGAATCTGTGATCTGTCAGTCTGGATCCAACGTGTGTATCTCCAGCCTGGTCCACTACCAGAAAGGTGAGTCCTGCCCATGTTCTAATAAGCCTCTTATAGAAGCCACAGGAAGACCTTAAAGCCCAACTTCAGGCCAAACAAGCCAATATGGCTGCAATACCTTCTTTCAGTCCAGCGCTGTCCTCCACAGTCCCTATTCTTTGTAAGATGTCCTCAGTTTTCCTGGTTTAATGACACCAATTTGGAACAAAAAGTTTTCTTTGAGACGTCATGTTGGACCTCCAACTTGAAGTTGGATTTAAGCCCTCGTTCCCACCTGAACGTTTTGTAGCGCGTTCTACGCTCGACGAACGCTCTACAAAACGCTCAAAAATATAAATCCCATTGTATTCAATGGTCTCGTTCCCACCTTGGCGTATTTCCACCCGTCCCTAACGCGCTACAAAACGGCCCACGCCTGAAAAGGTACATGTACTACTTTGGGCCGTTTTGTTGCGCGTTTCCATTGGGATACAGCCAAGTAGCGAATCGCGGAAAAAAAACGTGCGACGGTCGCGCATATGCAATACGTCTAGGTGTGAACGAGACCTAAAGGCTTCAACCGGACTGCTTCCGGGAACTGATGGGGAGGGAGCGAATGCGATGCGCGTTCCCGGAATGTGCAGGTGTGATTGCGGGCTTCATGAATACCATGCTCATGTTCTAATTATAAGCTGACAAATGCTTTTTTTATCACATAGAACAGTCAGTGGCGTAACAATCACCAACATCACCTGGGTCGCTATGGGATCTTCTGCTGCTGGCTTTCACTGGCGTCTGAAGACGAACACGCCGCTGTTCAGATCATCTGTGCAGCGGCGTGTTCGTCTCCAGAGTCAATGAGAGCCAACAGCAGCGGCGGAGCATGGTGGACCCGGTGTTCTATCAACGTCACGAGCCTCTGACATCACCGGCAGTGGAGGAGGAGACGGGCCCGTGCTCGGCAGCAGGGGAGGAGGCGGCCTCGGTGACGAAGAAGGAGGTGGGCCCGTGCTCGCGCAGCAGGGGAGGAGGCGGCCTCGGTGACGAAGAAGGAGGCGGTCCCGGCGACGGAGGAGGTAAGGAGTGCGACCAGCCCACCTGAGGGTGATCTTGCAGAGCCCACCATAGAGAGTCTATGGTGGGCTCTGCAGGGTCACCCTCGGGTTGGATCTCGAGTGGGCTCTGCAAGGGGTATAACTAGAAATCACGGGGCCCCATACAAAATTTTGCTATGGGGCCCTGTGATTTCTAGTTACGCCCCTGAGAACAGTTTCTAATCAAACTTTTTAGAGAGGCGCGGTGCCATCCGCAGGCTGGAGAGATATATTTGTGACAAAATCTACGGCCTTGCATGTGACCACCGTGCTTGACTTTCATGGTGATCACATGGGCAGCAACCACTCTAGTTTAGTCTGAGACCTGCAGCTATTAATGACCACTGGTCAGGTGCAAGACTTTGCCCAATCAGGGCTCAGTACTCAGTTAGAGCCATGATTGGGCAAAGTCATGATGACTTTGCCCAATCAAGTCCCAGCAGCACACTATAGAAGGCGGCTGACACAGCAGCCCTACATAGTGTGTTGCTGGAGTTAAAAAAGAGTTATATAGCAGTGTTCTATATACAGCGTCCTATATATTGATTCCTGTCCCCTAGGGCAGTACCCGGGCCCCCCATACACCGTTTATGGCCAATAACTTGCATATAAGCCCTCTTCAAGGGGACAATCATTTCCGAAAGTTCGAGCCCCATTGACTTGCATTGTTGGAATTCAAACTTTTCGTTCGTTCGAATACAAACCAAATACGGGGGTGTTCGGCCTATCACTAATAATGATGAGATCAGTTTGTAGTTTGAATATTCCATCATGTACCTTATCTGTGGTGGTTTATATCAATGAATCTATTGTCAGTGTACACCTTGTATGTAATGGGACCACAGACGTTCTCTACCCCAGATGGGAGTGGAGATGGGGATTGGAAGGTGTGTCTGTTCCTTGCCTGGAGGAAACGTAAGCTGGCCATACACTTGTCAATTTGTTTCGTTCAACCCGCGGGCTGAACGGAAGAAATTGACGTGATTCCTCCATCAGCACAAACAGCGTGTCCATCGAGGAATCGCCGCCAAGTGCATTGTATTCTGACAGGTTCCGCCGGCTCTGATCGCACGAAAATCTTCCAGCCGGCTCCTTCAATCTGCTGATCGAGGAATGACGGCTGAAAGGGAGCTGCACGCCCTACAAACTGTGCGCATTTCGGCCGGTACATTAAAAACCGGCCAGTGTATGGGCACTTTTACACAAGCGCAAAGTGAACATACAAACTCCATGCAAGCAGAGCCCTGATGGAAACCAGAACCCAACTCTGCAAGGCTACACAGGCACAAGGGCCAGAACAATGGGACAAACTCTTCATACATTGATCCCCCCTAACCCGTGGGTTTAACACTCATGCATGTGTGAACTTGATCTAGTAGACAACGGTAGTGATTTCAAATACCTAATCGTGAAAATATAATCTTCCTAATAATAATAATAATATGCACACACTCGTCAGTGTCTCAGTGACCAAAAATAGGCAGTGAATAAATGTGAATTAATAAATCAAATATACAGGTGAAACGCGAATAATTAGAATATGGTGCAAAGTTCATTTATTTCACTAATGCAACTTAAAAGGTGAAACTAATATATGAGAGAGACTCATTACATGCAAAGCAAGATAGTTCAAGCCGTGATTTGTCATAATTGTGATGATTGTGGCTTACAGCTCATGAAAACCCCAAGAACCCCAAATCCACAACCTCAGAAAATGAGAATATTACATGCAATCAATAAAACAAGGATTGTACATAGAACAATATCGGACCTCTGAAAAGTACAAGCATGCATATGTACTCAGTACTTGGTTTGGGCCCCTTTTGCAGCACTTACTGCCATTACTTTTGCACGATATTCTAATTATTCGAGTTTCACCTGTATGTTCTAATTCTCCCCTCAAAGTGTATACAGGGAGTTAAATAATATAAAAACCAACCATCTACCAACAAGCAAAAAAAAAAAATATATATATATAAAAGAATAAAGCGGAATAGTCTCAGCAATATAGCAAGCAGTCAATTTTTAAGAATTTTTGCAGTTTATATGAGACGGGATACGAACGGTTAATCTCCTTCTCTCAGTGATATTCAGAGGAATAATCCGTTCGGTTCCCTGATAAATATCCTCCAAAATATGACCAACCAGTCACTGATTGAGAAAAAACCCGGAACAGTCCAAGGTTCTAATAATCCATCTTCTCCTTTAGTCTCCAAGTCAGGCAATCGGATGTAATTTGATCTTAAATCTTGATTGTTCCAACGCCTCAACGCCGGCACCGTCAGCGTGTATCTATAGGTATCTCACAAGGGATACAAATGGAGAAAGGAGGCGAACACTCTAAGTGCAGTATTCAAGTACAATTTTTTTTTATTTTTTTTTTTAATATATGAATGCACTTACAAGAATCCAGAACTGATAAGGCTTTAAGAACGTATAGTAGAAAATCAGCTATGAGAAGTGAAGACCGACCATCCTTTGACGCGTTTCGTAGATTAACTTTCTCAAAAAGGATTCATGGAACCATTCATGGAATAATTGGAACCAATTATTGATTCATTATTGTTTCTTTTACTTTGAACAGATCCCTCATATGCTGGAAGTCACAGTCTTGAGGAGGGTAAGTGGAATGTATAATCACTGAATTATTTTCAATGTCAATATACTGTATGATCTGTGTGTTGGATAATTGCCACAGTCGGGTGACGCATATTATGTAATAAATCAGAATGTGATGAAGACATCTCTATATAGAAAGCATATTGGTACATATACTGTATATACTGTATATATATATATACACACACACCGATCAACCATAACATTATGGCCACTGACAGATGAAGTGAATAACATTGACTATCTGGTTACAATGGCACCTAGAAGTGGGGGGGGATATATTACAATGCCATCTGGAAGTGGGGGGGATATATTACAATGCCATCTGGAAGTGGGGGATATATTACAATGCCATCTGGAAGTGGGGGGATATATTAGGCAGGAAGTGAACATTTTGTCCCTGAAGTTGATGTGTTGGAAGCAGATATAATGGACAAGTGTAAGTATTTGATGGACTCTGACAAGAAGCAAATTGTGATGTGTAGACGACTGGGTCAGAGCAACTTCAATACTGCAGCTCTAGTGGGATGTTCCCGCTCTGCAGTGGTCCGGACCGACCAAAAGTGGCCCAAGGAATGAAAACTTGTGAACTGGCGACAGGGTCATGGGAGGCCAAGGCTCATTGATGTATGTGGGGAGCGAAGACTGGCCCTTGTAGTCCTATCCAATAAAAGAGCTACTGTAACTTAGATTGCTGGTTCTGATAGAAAGGAGTCTGAACACACAGAGCATCGCAGGTTGTTGTGTATGGGGCTGCTTAGCCGCAGACCAGTCAGGGCGCCCATGCTGACCCGTGTCCACCACCAAAAGTGCCTACAATGGGCACATGAGCATCGGAACTGGACTACGGAGCGATGGAAGAAGGTGGCCTGGTCTGATGAATCGCGTTTTCTTTTACATCATGTGGATGGCCGGGTGCGTGTCACTTACCTGAGGAAGAGATGGCACCAGGATGTACTATGGGAAGAAGACAAGCCGGCGGAGGCAGTGTGATGCTTTGGGCAATGTTCTGCTGGGAAACCTCGGGTCCCGCCATTCATGTGGATGTCACTCTGACACGTACCACCGACCTAAACATTGCTGCTCCCCCCTTCAAGGAAACAGTATTCCCTGATGGCAGTGGCCTCTTTCATCAAAATAATGCGCCCGGCCACACTGCAAACATGGTTCAAGAATGGTTTGAGGAACACAACAAGTTTGAGGTGATGATTTGGCCTCCAAATTCTCCAGATCTCAATCCAATCGATCATCTGTCGTTATGTGCTGGGGAAAAAAGTCATATCCATGAACGCCTGGCAACTTAGAGGATCTGCTACGACTTCTTGGTGCCAGATACCACAGCATACCTTCAGAGGTCTAGTGGACTCCATGCCTCGTCAGGTCAGGACTGTTTTGGTGATAAAATGGGGGCCTACTCAATATTAGGTGTGTGGTCATAACGTTGCGGCTAATCGGTGTGTATATATACTGTATATATTATATATTGTTGCAGTAAGGATGTACTTCTTGAGCATATTAACTCTGAAAGCAAGCAAATTTGCAAAACTAATCTGCTATTTATGTCCTGTGCAGTGTAAACATGTAGCTGTTTACATTTCTCCTGTCTTCAGTGTACACTGTAACTGTAGATAAGGACTCAAAGAAGACATATGCCTCTTATACCTGTTTTATTCCATATCTTCACTACCATAAGCCATAAATGATGATCTCTGTGCTGCAATTCACTCATGTAATCACTGGAGATCACAAACTGCTGCATGTAGAGAGCCCCCACATAAGTTTAGCTACATTGTAGAGACCACACCTCTATAGGCCAAGACTGAGAACAAGGATGGTGCGAAGGATCCCTACAAAATGTGCATCTGAAGGATGAACAGAGCCAATGTAGAGGATGCCTGCTTCTAGAAGTTTGTGATCTCCGGTGATTAAATGAGTGCAGGGCAGCACAGAGGTCACCATGGCTCCTGGCACCTAAGACATTCAATTAAACAGGTGTGTAGAGTCGAACTCTTGTCTGCTGTGAAAGTGCAAAACTGCAGACAGGATGAGAGTAAATTATGTTTACACCAGCCAGAGGCGTAACTAGGAACCTCAGGGCCCCGGTGCAAGAAGCCATGAAGGGCCCCCCCGGCGCGCTGCGGATCACTCGCCTGCTGGGAACATGGAATAGAATATGGTCAGTTCCAAATTGAGCCATGTTCTGTTCCATGTTCTATAATGGAAAGCACTAAAGCAGTGGTCCCCAACCCCCGGGCCGCGGACCGGTACCGGTGGATCAAATGGTACCGG